ACATGTAAAAATGTAAAAAACAAAAATCGGTTAAATCCGCCGTATATTGAAGGTGCTATAAATATTTTAATGAAACGGTAGCAAATTTCTTTTAAGCGCGAAGGTCCGCCTGTGTTGTGTGAAAGCGTACACGCGGTCGACCCGCAGACTGAGTGTTAATAGGAAAAAAACTAAGAATACCCGAATGCTTCGAGGTTCGTCGTTCATTTTGTATTATCTTGCTCGCTCTCGGTACGTCTCATTTACTCTCTTCGTCGTGCGATCTGCTATGCGTAGGTGACAGTTCCGACAAATGGTATACCTAAGTCGACAAAAAGTATGCCTAAGTCAACAATCTGTGTGAGGTAAGCAGCACTCTCTCTATTTTAACCATTCGGATCCGCATTCCTGCCAAGGAAATTCTTTCCATCTCTATATAGTGTGCGGAGCACCTCTCGGGGGTTCGCCAACTTTCTCCCCGACGTTGCTCTGGTCCGTGGATCAAGCCATAATAAAGAGGACCTGCGAAATTCTCCTCCCCCGACCTGTGAGAGCAGGCAATAAGGGAGAAACAACGGCAAGGTAAATCGGATGGCAACGTGATGACAATCTTTCCATCTATCTTAGCTATTTATATACTTATTTTAAATATTTATCGATACATCTATTTTATCTGTTTTACTTATTGTAACTATGTATTTAATTGTTGACATATTTACGTGTTTATTTATTTATACATATACATATATATGACAACTATCTAGTCATTCTGGCTGTTTCATGTTTGCTTTTTACATTTATCCCACACCGTTGATTTTTACATATTTGTCTGTTAACCTGTTTTTATTTACTATTTTCGTTTTTATTTATCTATTTATTTATTTTCTTTCTGCCATCCTCTTGCTTGCTACTTAGTCTTTCCTGCCTATATGCTTTTATCTACTTCTGCTGCTTCCTCAACTACTTGTATGCTCGGACCCAAATGCACATTATATAACTGTAGCCTGTTATCTTTTGTTCCTTTCTTTTTTGTAATTTTATTGCGTTTATTAACACTATTATCTATCTTTTCATTTATGATATTTATTATGTTTATATACTATGTTTATTTGATGTATTATTACTTACTTAATTATTTACTTTTATTTCAATTCTTGTCGGCGGGGGCCCAAAGTACTTAAATTTTGTATGCAATCAGGTTGTGGCTGAGATGGATGACTTATTCCTATTGTCAGTCGCGCACTATGCTAAATGAGAGTAATATGCTACATCACTTTATTTCTATGGTCTGTTTTATAAAATAAAAGCTCTCGGAGGTAGTCCGCTTCTGACCGTGTATTTTGGTGGGAAGTCACATACGACA